ATCAAAGGTTAACGATATTAATATATTATTGCATGTCTTATTCGCATGTAAGCCCTCCATTCTTTAGATGCTATAAATCCTATCCACCACCATCACTTTGATGGCGTAGCTTTTGTCTTTTTCTCACGTATGTGGTATGAAGTGACTTTTCTTCTAGTTTCTCTTATTTTGATTGGCTGAATGCTTATATAATCCATGTATGCTGAAATAGCCAGTTGATTCAATCTTCTTTTGGATTAGGAAAGCCTAGAAATTTCCTATGTGCCAAATCCCTGGAGAGAATAATATAACATTCTTAATCGAGAGTTTTCTTAGGTTGAGATCTAAGTTATAATTAACCACGAGGGCTTGTGCCAGTGGGAAACCAATCCACATATCAAATAAATCTCATTCGAGCTGATGTATCGAATGAAAGAAATCTTATTACTTTGATCAGATTATATATAATATTACTCATTGGGGTGTGTAGGTGAAAACTGTTATCCTCCATAGTTAATTGTATATATGATCTCATTTGCTCTTCCATTGGCCTGCTTGCATAGAGTGTAAAGGCTTGTGACCATTTTGTCCTATGGGATAGTGTGATCGTACCCTATGCATTATGTTCCCCACGAGCAGAATCCTTTCGGAGACCCATAATAAGTGTTCTGGACTGTTTTTTTTTTGGAATGCATATGAAATCTCTATAAAAGTAACTTTCAAGATATACGTGAGAACTCTAAAATCAAGTAAACACTAAAACCTAGAAAACCATGTTTTACTAATATTTTATTCATTCTTTATATGTTATTTTATTTTTTATTGAAATTACTAGTTAATAATTTAATGGATATTGATATTTGTGATGGGCTAGGAAGAAAGCCTACTAAGTTGAATGTGCTCATTATGATATTCTTCTGGTGTTTCAGGAAAAGTTAATTGTCCAACATAGTTGAGAATGTTAGAGGTAGGTTCTTATAAATATGAGTGAAATGATATTATTTTATAATCAAGTTTTAATTATTCTAATGTATGGATGATTTAAAGTAAATTGGAGTATTGTATATATATTTCGATAAAATAAAATGTGTTTTTATTATTGTTATTATTTGGATTTTTGTTACCTCTATGGGTGGTTAAGCTGTAATTATAGATTTAGAGTTTAAATCCTTCCATTAGATCCTAAGGCATCACAAAGAAAAATCCCAAGAACTGCACATGAAGTATGCCAAACTCACATTTGGGAAGGTCAAGGTACATTTTATGTGGTGAAGATATACCATTTGCTAAATTCCTCACCTCACCCTAACCATTACTATAAAAGAGGAGGAAAAGGGAGAGGAGGAAAGGAGAGAAAAATAAAAGGGGTTTTGTGATGGGGACATCAGATCGTGGAAGGTCTATCAGAGACGTGGCTGTCGATCTACGGCTACGATTGAGTCATTGTATTTCTGAGTCGTCTTATATATTTTCTTATTTATGATGTTATACTGTATTTGCTTTATTAGTTTTCCATTGTACCCTTTTATTAAGGGAGGTTGTGTGTAAGCCCTATGGGCATTGTCGTCCTTTTATTTTGTGAGTCTTTGTACGAGGTTATTTATAGCCCCATTGTTCTTCTTTTCAAGTTAATGAATGAATGATTGATTAAAATAATACTTCTATTTGCATGAGTTCTTGTGAGAGCTTGAGAGATTGGAGTGAGATCCCTAGGAGAGGGAGAATTGTGCATCACCCACCAACCTAGACGAGTTAGGTTTGTGGTTCTATCTTCTACCTTTTCCCTTCCTCCTCCCCCTACCACCACCAACCTTACCTCAGCTGCATCACGTTTGTCCTAACTTTCACCACCACCAAACCCCTTCTTCACCCCCACAGAACTCTCCAAGCCACCTCCACCTCGCTGTCGGCTCCCTTACCAAAACCCCAAGCAAGCCGCCGTTCCTAGCCCCTTGCCCTCTCTTGGATTTATTTTATATTCTAGATTGCCATAATTTGGGCATATTTTGAATTCAAATTCACCGAATTTGACATTTAAAATATTTCCTAAATTATAAAATCTATTTTAGGAAAGTTTCTAAATCCCTTCCCATTGGATTTTAATTTTGGAATGAGTTATTTCATTCAAGATCTAATTATCTAATTTAAGGAAGCAATAAAGCCTACTTAATTCTCTCCCTAGCTCATTAATGCCACCAGCCCCCTATAGGATTAAATTAGGAATTGTTTCCTAAAGCCCACCTCCCCACCTTGGAAACAATTCAAACTTCCCCCCACCTTCTCTTGGCCAAAATTCACAAGACCCCACACCTATTAAATACTTTCCAAAACCTTAAATCAAGTTTTGGAAACAAGCCCTCATCCCCTCTCTCCCTCTTGCCGCCGTCCCAATCATCTCTCCCTCCTCTTTAATTATTCCCAAGTCAAGGGATTAATTAGAGAAATGTTTGGAGACTCTTTCCCTCATCGCAAACCAAAACCAAATTAAATCCTTCTCTCTCCAACCTTGGTCGGCCACCATACTTCATCTTCTCCACTTCATGTTTAAGAGAAACTTCTTTCTCTTTAACGGAGTTTCAAGGTTGCTAGTGATCTTCGAAAGCGACCGTCATTTAGCCTTCATGAATGGTCGATTAAGTTCTTGATTACGGCCTCGCCTACGACGAGCAAGGATTTGCTTGCATCTTGCACTCGACCTTCTTCGACATCAACCTGCGCATCGACCGCACCGTAGAAGAATACGTTGAGTGCATCTTGGACACCTTGGTTGAGGTGATTGAATAGAAACTTGGTACCGTACAATGGAGGATTACATCCAAACCTTCTTCGTCTTCCAATCTTCGTCCTCTTGTATTTCTTTAGTCTAACCCTCTTTCTTGTTATTTGATTTTAGTCATGAAGATTGTGTTCGCCTAACTTTGCCGAGCTTAATAAACGTAGGGATTGAGTGCATTTCAGTTGTTTCTAATCTTATTGTTAGATTAGAGATTTTCATTCAAAGCTATTATATTTGCATGTTGTTGATTTCCTATGTTATTTTGATGATCCAAAGCTTTTATTGTGCAACATAGCCTAAGCGAAAGTGACCGCTATTACATTTTATTTTGTCGTTTTATTTGCTAAAAGTTCTAATCATTAATATTCTAATCAATAAGTAATGCAAGTTCTTATCAAATTACTTTAAGCATTGTTGTCCTACATCATTTTGCAGCTAAAGCTCATATTTTATCCACAAGTTTGTTTAAGATATTATAGAGCACGAGGTAGACTTCTGATCTCATGTCTCTGATTTCAGTTCCAATAATATTATAAAAAGTTTTGAATGAAAATATATTCAAAGAAGGTCTCAACAACTCACTCCCAATCTATGTAATTCTTTATATGCAATCGACCATAAAAATTAAAATAAAAAAAAAACAATTTAAAAAGGCATATCTAATTTTATACGAAAGTGTGTGTGTTCTCTTTGTTGCAAACCATAAGCTCTTGTATGTTCTAGGTTGTAATCTCACATCATCCTTAGAATCAGAGACCATAGCATGGGCTCTTCGCTAGCCTGACCATAGCGTTGAACTACTCAATTTACTGGTAAGTCATGGTTTGTGTTCACCGTTGTCTTCAGCGTGTATACATTTTCTTTTGCAAAACTTACTCGTCGTCAGAAAAATACCACATTTTATGTAACCAAACATCTAAGAAGACTCTCCTTATCAAGTCATCGGAAGACCGATGTTTTATATAACCAAATATCTAAGACTTGTACTACTTCTCTCTTCTCTTGTGTAAATCGGATTCAAAATATAAAAAATCTTTGCAAAATATTTTATTAAGATTTAACAAAATTTAATATCGATAATGCCAAACAGTTTTAAAAGCTTTAATGCATCAAGGATTTACTAAATGTCGATTTACAATATTTACTTAATCTTCTTGCATGAAGGATTTTTTTGGTGGCTGTGGCAGTTTGTGAAAGTAATGGTAAAATTGGAGTGATAAAGATTGTTTTTTTTTTTTTTTTTAATTTTGTTCTCAACCAAGGTTTTGAAAATCGGACAGGACAACGAACCGGTAGAAGGAGAGGTTCACGGTTTGACCGGTTGGACCGGTCAAACCGGAGACGTAATAAATAATAATATTATTAAAATATATATATAATTAATGATAATTTTTTTCTCTAATACATTCATTCTACATTCTATTTTCATATCAAACTGATCAAATAATATAAATATGACATCAATTAAGTTTATAAAACGTAAAAAATAAGACATAATAATATAAATATTTCATTTAATAAGTCAATAAAACATAAACAAATGTCATTATTGATAAATCGATGGTGACAAGAACAAGAAACCTAATTAAGGTCAACTAAAAATACTAGAGGCTCTCTAGTACATATTACTGGGCAATAACAGCAACAATCAACAAAATTCTATCGTTACCCCATTCCTCTCCACCAATGATACCCCTAAAGATTCACCATTCTTGATAAGAACTGTTCCTTTCAAAATTTAGGCAAATGTCATATATAAGAATATTGCATATACAGGAAGTAATCCTTTTTGGTTTCTCTTCTTTAGAAGCAATCCGCCTGAGCATGCAACAGTTCTAACTTATAACTTGTCAAATTCTTTCGGCAAGAGCAGCTACTCTAAACTAAACCAATCCAACCAATTAACATAAAAAGGAATTGTGGAAAACCATTTCGAACATATACGAGCTGGGAAGAGCAGGAATGCAGTTGTTCAAAGAAAACAAAATGGAAAGAGCAGGAGAAGCCGAGAATACTAAACATGGGAAATACCGAAATAGAGATATCACGAAAGAAGGCATCGTTCGTCCGTCTATCCCCGTCGTTCGTCTCTCCCAGTCGTTCTCCTCCCAGGCTCTCAGGCATTCGCCTCTCCCGTCTCATCTCCGTAGGGTTTGCGAGAAAGAAAGAGGGAAGTGTTGCGCGTAAAAGAGGCTTCGCCTCATCATATTCGAACCAAAACCATTTTCAGCCATTAGATGTGCGATTAACGGCCAAAAATCATGCGATTTGAAACCGGCCGATTCTTTCCAACGATCCCGGTCCGGCGGTTCGACGGTTCAACCGTTATTTGAACCGGTTTTTGGCCGGTTTGAATACAGCCCGCCTCTAATGGTAGAATCGGACCGGACGCCTGACCAGTTCCCAGTTCAACCGGTTGAACCGGCCGGTCCGGTCCGATTTTTAAATCCTTGCGTGACACCAACAAGGCTTTCTTTCATTATTGGAAACAACATCAAGATCATCCATGGCTAACGAGATCTATGCACGTTGTCCAAACCATCATCAATGTCAATCGGAGCTAACAAGATGTAGTTCGTCACCTGTCATCATCAAGATCGACAAAACGAATCCCTCAAACATGAGACAGCAAATGATGCTCTAAATGATTTCTTCTCTTTGTATGAATTTGTTCAAATACACTCCAATTTCTTTCACATCCAGAAGATGAAGATGTTTGGCTAAGAATTCTAACCGCCAATTTCTGTAAGTTTGGTGCACTTGATCCGAACATCTTCCACCATTCATCTACAAATAGATAAAATTAGTTAGCTAATATCTGATATGCATGAAACAAGAAATACATAGTAAAATATTTATTTCACTTACCAGGCTGCATTTCTTTGGCCATTGTTAGTGCAATTGGTTTGCCAAAGCTTTCCAAACTGTCACGAAACAGCCTAACTTCATTCATTGTTGCTGTTGATTTAGGACAAATATCCTTATTTCCAATCAGCTCAATTAAACCTTGCATTACTTCAGCTTTCTGGCAAAAATTTTCTTTATCATACTGAAAATGTGGATTAAGAAAATAAGCTGCACAATGTATGCCTTGTCTTAACTGCCTATCCCATCTCCTCTTTATAATACTTGTGTAAGGTTTATACATCCTTTTGGCATTTCTAAACATTAACTTAATAGCTTTCCTTGCCTTGTACATGCCATCATAAAGAAAGCCTAGAGATGGTTTCTCATCAGAATCTACTATTCTCAATAACCGAATTAAAGGCCCATATAGTTTGGAAGTTAGCAAACAGTCATTCCAAAACTTATTATCCAAAATGATGTCTGATACCTGTTTGGAAGTTAGCAATCAGTCATTCAAATTTTCATGCATCTGGTAACGAATGTCATGTGGGACTTTCTTGCACGAAGCTATGTTACCTTTGATTCCTGCTAAATGTTGTTTAATCCTATTAATTCCTCCACCTTTATAAGTAATCCCACAATGGAGGAATCTAAATTGTTTTTTTTTTCCATCTGGTCCTTTACTTTCAGTACAATGACTCCAATCTATATCAAGCTTCTCACGCACACTTTGAGTCGAAGTTATTTGTGGATCCATTTTAGAGTACTGTTTTCAATAGCTAAAATAATAAAATCAAAAAGGAAAGAAAGCAAAATGAAAAAAAGCTGGAGATATGATGCTTTGTGGAATAAGCAAAATTCATGGGAAAAATCTAATGATTATTTTGAGTGATCTTCTTTAACATTTTTAAAGCTTGAAGTAATGGTTTGTATGCACATTGAGGCATATTAAAGAATAATAAGTCTTTTTGTTCTCTTAAATACATTCTTGAAGGGACTATTCGGTTTCAGATAAAACAAACACAGAATTATCTATCATCTCATTCCATTGTTTTAGCAAAGACGAGTTTATCATTTTTTCATAAAAAATTTCTCCCATAATATTTATCCCAAAACACAAAAATTTAGCATAACAAGGGACTGTTCGGTTTAAGAAAAATTTAGCATAATCATTTATCCCATAAAAAATTATCTATCATCTCATCCCATAATTTAGCATAACCACCACTCAAATTAAAAACCAAAACACAAAAATTTATCCCATAATATTTAGAGCAGGATACAAAAATCAAGGGAAAATAACAGGATACAAAAATTAGGGGAAAATAGATAGAACAAATAGACCGTCCAAGATCAAATTATAGAGTCAAACAGTTGAAATCACAGATCTGAAAAATAGAAATGCATAAAGCAGAACAAATCAACAAACTGATATCATGCAAAAAATAAAATAACTACTGCTCAATAGTTTAAACCATTAAATTTCACAAAGTCTTGAATTCAACGTTCAAATCCAACGGGTATTTACTAAAATCCTAGCTGCAATCATACCTCTGGTATTAATGTATTATTTCGAACATGTAAGAGCTGGGAAGAGGAATGCATGAGTTGTTCAAAGAAAACAAAATGGAAAGAGGGAGAAGCCGAGAATACAAAGATACCTGGGAAATAGAGATAGCACGAAAGAAGGCGTCGTTCGTCCGTCTATCCCCGTCGTTCGTCTCCCCTAGTTGTTCTCCACCGAGGCTCTCACGCGTTCGTTCGCCAGTCGCCTCTCCATCTCGGCTCGGTAGGGTTCGTGAATCGCGAGAAAGGGAGAAAGAAAGCTACGCGTAAAAGAGGCTTCGCCTCATCATATTTGAAAAAAATATATTTTCAGTCGCTAGATGTGCGATTAACGGCCAAAAATCACACACTTTGAAACCGGTCGGTTCTTCCAAACGGTTACGGTCTGGCGGTTCGGCGGATCAACTGGTATTTGAACCGATTTTTGGCTGGTTTGAATACAGACCAACTCTAATGATAGACCCGGACCGGCAGCCTGACCGGTTCCCAGTTCAACCAGTTGAACCGGCCGATCCGGTCCGATTTTTAAATCGTTGTTCTCAACATTACAGATTTTTTTTTCTTTTGTGTGAAGTTAGATAACTTTTTTATAGTTACTCATCAAATATTTAGTTTTAAAAAAATAGTTTCTCACGAAAACAATTTTCTAGCTGTAATAAGAAATTTATAGCCAAATAAAAATTTACATTAGTCTGAAAATTAAGTAATTAAAGAACTATCTCAAAGGATCCTAAATACTACTTGCTAATAGAGTTTTTGTACAATAGCAAGAATCGCGAGGAAGAAAGGAGAACAACACAAAGAGCAGAGAAAAGGAAATTATCATCTCATCTTTGCAGCTATTATAATGGGAGATATATATAAAGAAGCCATACAAAATACAAATTAAGAAAGTACAATAACGGTGAAAGGTAGCGTGTACCGGTGCACTAACATCCCGTCTCAAATTAATCATTCTGGGATCGAATGGTTAATTTGGACTTGAGGTTGTTAAATCGTTTTATTGAAAGAGATTTTGTGAGAATGTCGACAATCTGATCAATTGAGCTAATGTGACAGATGTTGATTGCTCCTTGTTTGATGTGTCCATTGATGAAGTGATAGTCTATTTCGATATGTTTAATCCGAGAGTGGAAGATGGGGTTGTTGATGAGCACGATGGCAGACGTGTTGTTAGAAAAGATAGTTGTTGGAATGGTCTGTGGTATGTGAAATTCTTCCACTAGATGATGGATCCATAGGATGTCAGAGGTGGCGGAGGAAAGTGATCGTTATTCGACTTCAGTTGAAGATTTTGAGACTATTGCTTGTTTCTTAACAGACAATGAAACAAGATTGTGACCAAGAAAGGTACAAAATCCTGAAATGGATTTTCGATATGTTGAGTCAGCGGCCTAGTCAGCGTCGGTGTAGGTGCGGAGATAAAGATCGACTGATGTGATTGGTAGACTGAAATCAATGGTGCCTTTGATGTACCACAACAGAAGCTTGAGAGCTTGGTAGTCGCAGTTGTGGGGATTGTGCATATGTTGACAAATTGAGTTAGTTGCGAATGCAATGTCCAGTCTTGTGATGGATAGATATTGTACCAATCCAGCAAGCTTGCAGAAGAGTGCTGGATCAGAGTATGACTGATCGTCTTGTTGGCGGTTTTGCTTAGAACCCATGAGTGTCATTAATGGTTTGTAATAGGAGAAACTTGCATGATGAAGTAATTCATTTGCGTAGTGTTGTTGTTATAAAAAATAACCTTTCAATGTTTTGATCACCTGGATGCTGAGGAAGAGGGAGATGTTGCCGAGCTGTTTCAGACTGTACTTGGAGTGAAGCTGTTGCAAAGTATTATGTGTTTTGGCCTTGTTATTTCTTTTGATGAGAATGTCGTCTAAGTAGGTGAGAATGAACAAATGAATTTCATTTTGATTGAAAATGAGAAATGAGGTGTTAGCTTTACTAAAGGTGAACCCGAGAGTTTGAAGAAAGGTTGTGAATTTTTGAAACCATTACCTGGGTGACTGTTTTAAGACGTAAATAGATTTGTGTAATTTGCAAATGTGTTGCAGATATTGAGAGTCCTCGAAACTAATGGGTTGTTTCATGTAGACTTCATCGTGAAGGTCACCATGGAGAAAGGAGTTTGAGACATCGAGTTGGGTAACTGGCCAGTGATGGTGTAGAGCAATAGTAAGAAGGATACAAATTGTAATCATTTTTTACTATGAGACTGAAGGTTTTGGTGTAGATAACATCGAATTCCTGTGAGCAGCCTTGGGCAACTAGGCGAGCCTTATATCTGGTTACTTTTCCATTCATGTGAAGCTTTTTTCTTGAATGTCCATTTCTAGCCTATAATGGATTTTTCCACCAAGGGTGGCACGAGGGACCAGGTTCCTTGCTTTTGTAAGGCGAGGTATTCGGAGGACATGGCGGATTGCCAGTGTTTATACTTCAAGGCTTGAGCGTATGAGGTGGATGTTTGGTCAGCGATCGGACTGATAAGTCAATGATTTATTTTGATTTTGATATGCCCGATTGTAATCTAGTTTGCATGGGATGGCGTTGAATGGTTTGATGGTCCATAGGGTTGATGGAACTAGTGGGAGTAAATGTTATAGAAGGGCAGGAGGGAGATGTGACAGACGTAATGCTAGGAGCAAGAGTGGTGTGTGATGATGTTGTTTGAGAAATTGTGGACATAGGAACGAGCAGAAGAGGAGAGTAAGATTTTTTATGCTTTTAAGTGGATTGATTTGGTAGGTTGGATTGATAAGGAAACTGATGTTCATAGAATACCACATGTCTTGATATGTAAACGTGATTAGTTTGTATATTAAGGCAGCAACATCCTTTGTGCTAGGTAGAATAACCTAGAAAAACATATTCGTGTGAGCGACATGATAATTTGTTTGGTGCATAAGGTTTGTTTCATAGAAAGCATAAGCAACCAAATGTGTGAAGATGGTTATAAGAGGCATGATAACCATGTAGCCGGAAGTAAGAGGTGTGATTGAAGATAGCTGAGGATGGTAATCGATTTATAAGGTAGTTGGTTGTGGATGTAGCTTCCACTACAGGAAAATTACCCAATACCGACGGCTTGACCAGCGGTTATATGGCTGCCGGTAACAACGGCGATTTTTGCCGCCGGCTATTACCGGCGGCCTAACCGGGGGTTTTTTAAGTTTAGGCCGCCGGTAATAGCGGCGATCATGTAACCGTGAAGAATGCGAGAGCTGGAAAAAAATCGTCGATTTTGGGTGATTTTCCTGTAGTGTTCAGCCCATAAGTAAGTTGGAAGGTGAGCTACGTGGAGTAACGTACAAGTTAAGTCGAGAAGATGTCAATGCTTTTTTTTGGCGATCCAGTTTTACTCAGGTGTGTAAGGGCAACTAACTTGGTGAGTTATACCATTCTGAAGGAGATAAGTTTGAAAAGCAATGTTCGTGAACTCGCCGCCGCAGTCAGACCGGAAGGCCTAAACATTGGTATTGAATTGGTAGTGGATGAGAGTTGTTGTTGAGCTGCTAGAGCTTTGGGATTCGAAGGGGGAGCATAGTTCAAATACATCGGTGCCAACAGTTCAATGCCGAGTCACCCATTTTTTCGCAGATTTGGCAACTTGACCTATTAGACGAGTTCCTAGCTGGATTTGTGAATCTACGGAGGATTGTGGACAATGATTTTAGTTATGTCCATGAGACCGGTTGAACCTCCCATGGGTAGTATAGGTATGGTTGGAAAGAAGTGCAACAACCTCCAATTGTTGAGTTTCTTTTAGGTGTTCTTGTTGAAGATTAATTTCTTCCCTGCATAATAAACAATATAGTACATTAAGACTAAGAGGGTGAAGAGAGGTTCTTATGGCGGTCTTCAAGGGGTTGCAGATTGTAGGAAGGCCATTAAGAATGTAGAGTATGATATCTTCGGTGTCGAATGTGAAGCTAGCGGTCGCGATGTTGTCAACGAGTATCTTGATTTTATCAAGATATTGTTGCATCGTACGATCTTTCATCTGAATTTGGTGGAGATCGTTCTTGAGTTGTATGGCACGGGATTGGTTGATGGGTTGAAGATGTTGTTCTAGTGTGAACCATACGTCATGTGCGGTATTAAGAATGAGAATTTATGGTAGGATTGGTGGCTAAATTGTATAAAGAAGTGTAGAGACAAGATTGTGTTCGATGAGTTTCCATAAATTGTGTTCGATTGATGCAGATTTCGTGGACACGATGTAAGTCTGGTGAGATGTCCGCTGAATCTGTTTGCCGAGAAATGTTAATGAAGTTGTAATTACCAAATTGCATAGTTCTTGGATGTAAGTCATGTGGGAACAAGATTCTTTATGTTAGAGATGAGAAATTTGATAGGGTTGGGGATTACAAATTTGGTGAGGGAGTTTGAGATGTTCGACACCGTCCGACTAGAAGTGGCAGAGTTTCAGCCATGAAGATTAGGTAGAAGCTGTGAAGCAAATGTGCTCTGATACCATAATAGAGTTCTTGTACATAAGCAAGAACCGCAAGGAGGAAGAAAGGAGAACAACACAGAGAGCAGATAAAAGTAAATTATTATCTCATCTATGCAGCTATTACAATGGGAGATATATATAGAGAAGCCATACATAAGATAAATCAAGAAAGTACAGTAACAGTCAAAGGTGACGTGTACCAATGCACTAACACTTGCAACCAAATTGATGCGGAGCAGGTTAAGGAAGAGACTTGCGGCACTTTATATCCTTACTAACAAACTCTGCCTACCACCATCTTTTTTACTATTTTTCTGTTTCTACAGTACAAGTACACTTTTTCTATTTAGTAGCTAGTTATAGTATTTCACCGGAGGAGATGAAGGTATATAGAAAACATAGCAAAAGGGTATAGCAGCTTTTTGAAAAACTTTTACAGAAGATAGCAATACAGAAATACAGAGTTATTTCGGTGAGTATTATCCTTGTCTTCTCCGGTCTCCTGTTTTCTTTGGCTTGGCGTCACTTTGTGCAGGTGCTCGGCGATCCGTTTGCAACAGCTGGTATCAGAGCCACTACCTGAAGAAGATGACGGAGCGAGGAAAGGAGCCTGCAACGGAGGAAGGACGGAACCTTGAATCATTATGGGCGAACCAGGATCACGTCAATCGGCGGATTGACGCGCTGGAAGCGGATATACAACGGTTGGGGGTGGAAATGCGCAGGGAGTTCAATCTCCTGAGGGCAGGACCTCCTCAACCAAGACGGAACAGAGACGAGATACCTGCTGCAAGACCTGTGCACAGGAGAGGAATAGCCGCAGGTCGAGGTGGCCGACCTCCGCCATTACCGATACCACAATTATCGGATTCGGAGGAGGACGATTTTATACACAGGGAAGCTGACTTTGCCGAATCGGAAGAAGAAGAAGAAGCTGGAAATCTACACCGCAGGGATTGGCAGCGGCAGCGACGACAACTTCCTCAACAGAATCAAGGTGAATTTAAAGTAAAATTAGACATCCCATTTTTCGACGGTCGAATACACATTGAAGATTATCTTGATTGGGAAAAATCAGTTGAAAATTTCTTTGACTACATGGAAATTGCTCCAAACAAACAAGTAAAGTATGTCGCATGTAGATTGAAAGGCGGCGCTAGTGCTTGGTGGGCACAAATAGTTCAAA